AACCAGTTTTATTTAAGAAAGGACTTGTGTCGCTAAAGTTTCGTCGGAACGAAGTTACGGAAAATTAACTAGCGAACGGAGACGTAACACATTTATTCAGTGCTACTCAACTTGTCGTTTCATATGTTTACACGTAGATTTTTTTTCTTTCACAAACAGGTCCACTTCACCCAGCTGAATACCTCTATGTTTTTGGTTTTTGAGAATTTCACCCTGGCTCAAAGATTTCACTTTGTCTTTTAATAGCGATTTAACAATTTTTTGCGATTTTATGCGTTTTTTCACGATTTTGAACACTTATTAACACCTCACTCAATCTCTCCAATGATAAATTTATACGTATTCGGATGCTGTAAAATAACAATAATAGTAAGTGTGGTACTAACTGCCGAGAAGTTTTCTTGTCGAAAATTAAAATATATTTACAATATGTGCTCATTTTATAACGCAAATAAACATATTTCGAACTCAAATGTATCGATGAAAATTATATTTCATATAATAAATATTAAATTTTTATAACCAAATCTGTGTTCAAGTTATTTATAAACTGAGGGGTTCACAAAAGTACAAGTAGAATTAGACTCATAACCTTTACTGCTGATCAAGGGGATAAATTAGATTGTAAGCCATAAGAAAACCGGGTTGCTTCGTGTGCAGATGACTGAGAGGGGATACAATAGTACGAGTAGTTGGTCTATTCACTTCAGGGTATATTTATAATTTAATATGTCTCTGTTTTCAGCTAAATTAGCCACTTGTGTGGCCAGATATATTCCGAAACACGCCCTAAAAGTAAAGGTAATAAAGACACAATATATTATTTTTGTATATAGGATTAAAAATATGTATATTTTTGCCTTAGTGTTAAGTTAGGCTAGTAGTAGTACTACACTACAGTACTAATACTGAATATCAATAAGTATTATTATTAAATATTAGTTGGATCAGCACTAGTACAACAGTAGTAGTAGTACTCGGTAGTAGCATTATTATTATATTATAATTTATAGTAATAATATTAATAGTTAATACTGGTAATACTACTATTAGTATTAGTTTAATAATAATATTAAGAATGAGAACAACCAAAATTGTGGCTTAAAGTTAAACTAAGGAAGCACTAGTAACATTGTTTTATAGCTTTAGTGTTAATGTTATTAGTATGACAATCATTTTTATTTTACAGAATTAAGAAAGTGGTATAATTTATGATTTTAATTTCTCAGAAATTTGATAAAAGTTTTCGTTGAGGATTCGACTTCAGTGACCATTGCACAGTATTAGAGTTAAGGCTTTGATGTTTTTGTTCAAACAATTATTGAATTAAATGTTTTGTGGGAGTGGCATGATTTAGCCAGTTAATAACTTGCACAATGTTTTCACTGACTGTTTTTTTTATGATTTACAATTCTTATTATGTGTTTGACATTTGTAATTATGTAGAAGTTTCTTCTGTAATACCATCTGAACTGAAGACTAACATTTGTTATGAAACAAAGAAAAAAAAAAGCAGAATTGAAGAATGTTAGTTGGCCAATCAAACTTTTAAAGCTATACATCATCCAGAAAAACTGCAACAGAAATTATCCTACTTAACCAAACCCTTCAAATTGATATTCCTATCAAATAAAATTTTGAAAAAATTCAAACTACCTAAACACACCATATCATCAGATTAAATATTCTACAACTCTATAACTAGCTGAAAGACCAATTGTCCGAAGATGTAGTCAGGATCTAGGCTTCCAAAATTTAACCCAAGTACTTCTTATCAATTCATTTAAAGAGACCATTCATAGAAAGACTGTTAAATCCACTAAGAATCAAGTCACCTTTTGTTCTTCCACCTCCTTACGAAACAAGTATAAACTTTGACGTCTCTTCTGGTTCCTAAATTGCATCAGATCATTTCTGCATTTTCTGAATTTGTAAATAATTTTGCAGTATAGAGTACAGAATTGCACACACAACTTTATATCAAACCTAATTGGAGCTTTGTGCTTGCTGACAATAGCTTTCTTGCTCAGCATGTAACAGAACCTATTAGAGGAGATGCTATTATTAGGGTTTTTTTTTTTAATTCTATGTTAGAGCAAAAGCACTTGAGTACTAACATTCATAACATTGTTGACTGATGTTATTCAACTAATAAAGCTAAGAGTTGTTCCTCATTAGAAAAACTAACTCTCACAAGCTGTGAAACTAAGAAAGAGAAAGATAAGTTGGATAATCTGAACTGAAAGTGTTAATAAAGCTTAAGAAGTTTATGATAGTTGAAACTAGAATATTTTTATGAATATAAATAATGGAATTATTTTGATAAACAAAAAAACTAAACTGAAAGAATTTGAAACTTGCAAGTAAAGTCAAAGATGTTGAGATTTATCAAAATAAAATATCAAGAAACCTTGTTATTGTCAATAAATAATAACTATTGAAGTCTTTTAGGCTAAAAAAAAACCAAATTTCACTAAAGGTTTTTAACATATGTGGTTAAGTGTAGAAGGATGTAATGGTTTTAAGGGACAGAACTTTACTTTCATAATGTTACTGTTGAAGGAAAAGAACATGTGAAGATGCCTGACAATGTTATTGAGGCTAAAGATCCTGGCCTTGACAAGATTTGTGGTAAAAACTGATTAACAGTCTGTTGAGTTCTTAAACAGCATTTTTCAGATACTTTGTTAAATGCTGGAAAATATTTTCATTGGATATAAAATTGCAAGTACGATTGCAGGAAGACTCATGAAATGTTAGGCATTTTTGTGTTGTTAGCAAGGTTTTGGTAAAAAAATTGTTAGAGATTATTTAAAAAGAGTCTACCTTAAAAACGTAATTTCAGAAAAGGATTTCTGTGTTACGAGCTTGCTAGAATTTTTTATAAGGGTTGAGTTCATGACTTTCAGAAAGCATTAGATAAAGTAACATATAAGAAGTTAATTAGTAAATCAAAGAGGCCAACATTCGTGGGTGAATGCAATGTGTCTTCACCATAATCCCAACATGGCCAATTTTGACACCAGAAAAATTGTAAAAAACACAGAAAAATTGAAAACTGTTTATATCACTGCTTGGGACCTGAAAGATGGTATCTCTGTACCTAATCCCATGTAAGTTGGTTGACATACACATGAATAATTTTAATAAAAAACAAATTGTAATTTGCTCACTGAAAAATTGAGCAAAAGACAAAAATTCCATAATTATCCAAAATTTGTACTAAATTCCATGTAAATTGGTCAAAGCAAGGCTAAGTAATTGACAAAAACCTATAAAATTATGAGTTTATTTAACATCCCCCCCATGACAAAAAATGGACATATCCTACATTTTTCCTTTTACAGCAGAAAGCAACAACCCTCCATGAGCTTGAATCAACCACCAGACACCACGTGTGCTGACATTTGGGATCATGAGTGGGAATCACAAGTATAAAAAGTCCCTTGGCTAGGGACCCAGATGGCACAAAACACCCATGCACAGAGATATCAGCTGATTATCATATATTCTCTCTGTTTTTACTAAACTTAGTTAAGTTATTGATGCCATAACATCAAGATATGAAGTGTGTGTCTTGTATATCATAATGCATAATACAGTGAAACATACTGCTGATTTATGATGAAGAAATGACAGTGATTGAGGACTGACCATGAAATTTAATTATGTGGTGAAAGGGTTAAGTGAGTGCAAAAGGTGACCATTAGCGTTGGGCAGAAAGAGGACAGAGATATGATGACTGATAAATGCTTGACTCCTTTGGTTCGGTGTTTGGTACTAATTTTTATGTTCGTCTATATCTGGAAGAAGATTGTTAATACTAGATGATAATTAGTCATTGTAGAATATTTTTATAGTAACATAGAAAAGTTTATTATTGTTTAAAATGTTTTATTATATACATAGAAGAAAATATAACTAGAAAGATTCACAATTAGTGGTTAAAAATAGTCTACAAATAAAGGTTATAAAAATTAGTTTTTGTTTTCGATGCCATTTAGCCTAATTAAGCTGATGTCGAGAAGCTATGACAAGAAAGTTGGATGGCATAGAAGAATACTAGAGATAAAGATTATATAAATGATTGTTTTAAGACAAAGTTCATTGGTATAACAAGCTAAAATCCAACTTTGTGATTAAAAAAAAAGTAACTTTGAAGATTGCTCTTTAAGAAGAAAAGTCCACATTTCGAAAGCGCTTGGGTTATAAGGTATTGTATATTTCTGTTTGTTTGTTTGAAGTTAAGCACAAAGCTACACAATGGGCTATCTGTGCTCTGCACACCACGGGTATCGAAACCCGGATTCTAGCGTTGTAAGTCCGCAGACATACCGCTGTGTCACTGGGGGCTATATTTCTGTTAAAATCATTTCTTGAACCTGCGTGTTCTTCTAACATTTTGAAGACGTTATCTTACTGTTTTAAAAAATAAGAGTTGTGTTAGCAGACAGGCATTCGTTAATGTGAGAGTTAATTACATTTTAAAGTATTTGCCACTATGTGATCCTGTATTAAATTTCTATTGTACTTTTTTTCTCTCTAGCTCTCTAGTAAATGTTTTCCGTGTGCTTTTGTCGCAGGCAGGAATTTTTCAACAACTCAGTATGCTGCTGCTGGCTCTGGTAAATTTTTCTAGTATAAACAATGATGATGTAACATTAATAGATCTTTGTGAATTAACCAATGATATTAATGTTAGTTAAGCTTGTGTTCTGTACAGTTAGTTTATTTAGTCATGTAAATGTATGTTCTTAATTTTCCTTTTATGCAAGTTGTGAATTTCATCATATTAATTTACATGTGATTTAAATGTGAATTTTATTTGTTAACGTAAACAAGAAAGTTTTAACGATATTGATAGCATGTCCTAGTCAAATTTTAGTTTTGAAATGGTCTAAAACTAAGTTTGTAGAAACTTAAGCAGATAAATATTTAGAATTGTTGACAGTGGGAATATTTAAGGGTGGTAGTCTCTAATTTTTGAGTGTTTATCAGTACAGCAGTGTAATTGTTTAGGTATGTATATGGTCAGACTGCAACTTTTTTTTAGAAAGTCTGAAAAATTGCTAATCTTTTAAAATTTTCTATGTTTTTCCTATAAGTCTAGACTACATTATGATCCTATTCATTACTTTTATTAGATTGATAATATTTTCTCTAATATTACATATTTCAAAATAGAACAAAAGACACCAGAAGAGGTTTTTTTATGTACCAAAATTGCTGAAAATCATCTTTGGGGAGGTAGGGGCACCCTCTATCACTCTCAGCATTCAATTAGATTTAAATTCCTTGACAATGTTCTGACCAGTCCATTTGCAGGTGACAGGATATAGGTAGAGGTCAAGTGTATGAATGGGAAATGGACCTTGCCAAATATGGCTGCTGTTGCTAGAACCATTATTATGGTTTAGTGAGAAATTATTATCGTTATAACTTAACATTATTATTTTGCCACTGTTGATATACATTATCGTGAACTAACTTTAAAAGAAAAAAACTTGGAGACTAATTATATTTAAAGTATGTTGAAGCACCATTTTGTTTACTTTTAGATGTAATTATAAGTTACCCCCAAAGTTTCTTTACATTTGTTATTGACAGTCTTTGAATGGATCTTCTTCACTAGTTGCCACTCCACAGGAATTTGGTAGGACATCATTTAAAAAGTTTCTTACTCTACTTTGCTATCTAGGCTCTGCCGAAGTCTCGTCAATCTTGGAGGAAAGAATTCTCAGTCACACTCCTACATCTAACATGGAAGAAACTGGACAGGTACTGTCTATTGGTGATGGTATTGCTCGTGTTTATGGGTTGAAGAATATTCAAGCTGAAGAGATGGTGGAGTTTTCAAGTGGCTTAAAAGTGAGTTTTTTGTTTATTTTAGTAGCTAAGTGGTTGATTTTGTGTTGCTGTTCATAGATTAGCTAACACTTACAGTTATGAGGTTAGTAATATGTTTTTTTGTGTTCTATTAAAAGTTATTTCAGAATGTTTTAAACAAAATTAACTTTGATATGTGTACAATTTGAAATATTATATATTAAAGAATTAACAAAAATGTTAAGTTTTGAATGCAGCAAACGGTAATTGTCTTTAAAATTGGTTTATATCATGGACATTAAGTGTTTAAAACATTTTTGTTACTGTGTCTAGGGTATGGCATTAAACTTGGAGCCTGACAATGTTGGTATTGTAGTATTTGGTAATGACAAGTTGATCAAGCAAGGAGATGTTGTGAAGCGAACAGGTGCTATTGTGGATGTTCCAGTTGGGACAGAGTTACTGGGTCGGGTTGTTGATGCGTTAGGAAACCCCATTGATGGCAAGGTAAATAATAAGTGTTCCTTTTCGTTTTTAGTAGCTGAGGGTTTTATTCCAGTACAACTAGTGCAGGTTCAACTAGAATATGTTTTATGAAGTTTTTGTAGAAGCTTCCTACTTCATTTACAAATAATACTGTTTAACGGTGATCTTGTGAATTGCAAGGCTTCTAAAAGAATTATTAAACATTTTAATAATAGTATGAAAAGGGTTTAAGAAGCTCATTTGTTTTAGTGTAACTGGCATTATGTAAGCATTGGATAACTCTCGTATATATATAAAACAGACATATTTTTGGGGTATGATTAAGGATACTACCCCCTTTGTTGTATGTACAAGTACATGTTTGTATAATTCTAGGATGTACCCATAGGCAATGGGTTATAAAATTTACATAACTTATTAACAAGTCTTCTTCAAAATCACAACTAGGTTGCTTAAAATGTTGACCCTTATTGTTTAATTTTATACATTTTAACTAGTTAAATCTGAAAAATATTAATTAAATGACATCACAGAGTTGCTACTAGGATTTTTTCTCAAGTGGGCCAAATCCCCCACTGACTTCCAGAAAGTGGGCCCTCCATGTAACGAAGTAGGTATCAGCTTCGTGAGTCATAAAAGTATAGCATGATCAAGTAACTTTTATTTGAAGAAACAGTAATTGAATCATTGCAGTTTGTTTTATTTGTGTATGTACTGAAAATATCTACGCATTCATTGACAAAACCTAAATTGCAGTTGTCTTCTTTGTGCCTTTTTCCTTTATTTATTTCTATTTTTGCATTGTTTTAATGGAAAAATGTAGTAATTGTTGGAAAATTAATTGCTTCTTGAATGTCTTCATACCTTATTGTTTTTTCCACCATTTTCAATCATCGAAATCCCATAATATCAAGGTAATCTCTTGCAAAACCAAATGATGTCATAACACAGCCAATCACGTTCCTTTGCATATCCAAATGAGCTAATTACTGTTCGAAAATTTTCTGGTTATAATTGCGATCTATCGTTACAATATCTTTCATAAGACATTTTGAAGGGCAGGCACACATGAAGAATTGAAATTTGTACTTCTATTTTTGTGTGTGTGTGTGAACTAGTGTGCAGGCAAATGATAATTTTGCTCTATTGGCAATCAAAATAGCCTAAATATGCAAAGTATGCATCCTGGCAAAAAATAAGGGTTCTGTTGTTTAGCCAATGACTGACAAAGGGCACAGGAATTTTTTGTAAGTGGTAATCTGGGCAAGGTTATGAATATATAAACCATCTGTAAACAGTGGTAAAAACTATGAAAAAAACAACAAAATGACGGTTTAAAATAGTAAACACAAATATATTAAAGTAGTGTATCAAGTTTTTTTTATAATTATATCTTACTGCAAATATCAAATATGGTAGTGTATGAAAAAATATGAAATGGAAAATGCAATGCTTCCTAGAAATTCATGTCAGCTCACTGTTTATTATCTTATCTGCTGAGGGTATACCATTCATGAATTGTTTGTTTGCTCTTTTCTTTCTCTCTCTCTTCTTTTTTTAATTTTTTGCTGGTGTAGTTGGCACTGTTGCAAGTGAAATTTGAAGTATAACTCGGATATTTACCATTGGCCAAAAATTTAGTTTCAGTATGTATGATTTGAATCTAAACTTTTATTAAAGCGTATAACATACTTTAGTTCTTGTATCACATACTGATGGTAGACAGAGTATATTTCAGGATTTTTTATTTGTCTAAATTTACAAACTGTTAAAAGATAAAACTATGTTTTTCAACTGTTAAATTCATGCTATGATACTTTTTAATTAATTTGAAGATGCAAGTTTTAAGTCCATATTATGTTGATATACAAAGAGTTTAATAATATTTTCCAAACTAGTAAACTGTAAACAAAAATCATATAGTTAATGCAGTTAATACTGATTGGAGCTTTATTGATGATAATAAAGATAATGTTTTTATTGTAACTAGGGCCCACTTGGTTGCAGTAAACGAGCCCGTGTTGGTCTAAAGGCACCTGGTATTATTCCTCGTATCTCGGTGAAAGAACCAATGTTGACAGGCATCAAGGCTGTCGATAGCTTAGTTCCTATTGGTCGTGGACAGCGAGAGCTTATCATTGGTGACAGACAAACTGGGTAAAAACGTGTTTGAAGAATAACATTTACAAATAAATGATTCGCACACTTGTTTTATTTGTTCTAATTACTAATTTTTTGTTTATTTGGCTTGGTATAAATTTGCTGTAGTAGTTTAATATTTTATTGTTTTTACACATGTGATATATAATAAGTTTGCAAACAATGATTTATAAGCATAACAAAGTGATTTATTTTTGGCAGAACATACTACCTGACAAAGACAGATCAATGTCCTGTCGAAACATTAGTATTTTTCCTCCAAAATAAATCACTTCGTTATGCTTATAAATCACTGTTTGCCAGCTTGTTATCATAATGTTCTTCTGTACTGAAGTAAAACTAAGAACATTGTGAAATGAGAAACAACTCCTGTTTGGAAATGTTAAAGCAACAAATTAATTATTTTTTGTCATAGTACCTCCTACAATGGATCAAAAACCAGGTGAGTTAAGACCTGTGGCTTCATATTGAAAATGATTTGTAATTAACACAAGGTATCTTGCTTCAGTTATACACACACATAATATGAGTTATTTTTTGTGAAAAAGGAAAACTGCCATTGCCATTGACGGAATCATTAACCAGAAACGTTTCAATGAGGGAAGTGACGAGAAGAAGAAACTTTATTGTTTCTATGTTGCTATTGGTCAGAAGAGAAGTACAGTTGCTCAGATTGTCAAAAGGTTAACAGATACAGGTATTTGATTTCTAATGTTTCCCAACAAATTGCTCCTTCACATTCAAAGAAAAAATCAAACTAGATTTGAAACTGTCATTAAATGTTGTAATTAAAGCATTGTTTAGAACAGGTTTTTTTTAGTGTCACAACTGTCAAGTAATAACGTTTTAATACACTATACATTTGCTAAATGTTTAAAAAGACTTATAATATGCATTTCTCTTAATAAACAAAACATTTTCTGTGTAATTAAGAAGTTTTGTCATTAGTTTTTTAATAAATATGTCAGATTAAAAAAATGGAAGATATTTCTCCAAATATTAAAGATATTGTCAATAAAAGGAATAAACTTGTGTGAAAGCTCAGAGGAAAAAATTAGGAAGAAAATTGTATTATAGATTTAACACTTTGGCAGCTGGGGTGCACCTGTTTTTCAAGAGCAAAATCCCATTGTTGAATTAAAATGTTTATAAAAAAAATGTATACTTGTAATAATTTTTCATATATTTGTTTAAATACTTTAGAGTTGAAATTTATTCAGTAAAAGTTTTATTTGTATAATTTTATCCACAAAAGGGTAAAATTCCAAATTTTGAAATTGGGTTCATTTCAGCATATCCTGAATGAAATTCTTACTGCTCATAATACAGCACTCTTTAACCCCCTAGGAGGAAATTCAAAACACTTTTAAATAAAATGGTGCCAATTTGAACCTTGTAACTTCAATACAAGTGTAGTTTTATTTATTTTAGCCAATCACTGTTTCTCATCCTCAGTTGTCATGGTTTTAGGTAAATTATCTGTATCTCAGCTTTAAGAGTTCTGGTCTAGTGAAGGCTCTTATTTTCAATAGTGTTTTTATGGCTTCCAATTCAGTAGGGAGTTTTATACAGATTAGAACAAAGTGATAAAAGCTCCGCTTGGTAGATTGTTTTTTTAATGTTGCAAAAATCTTGCTTTATCATATTAGATTTCCTTTGAATTATATTGTAGAATGATAGGAAAATAAATGTTTTTGTGGTTGAGATTTGTTAGGGTTTGTTAAATCATTTTACATTTGACTGTAAGTTGAGTTTCCTTTTGCTGTCGAGGTTGCTGTTTATTAGGCTATGTTTACATTGGCCTTTAGTCATTGGTTCCCAATTTGTGATATGTGTAGTCCTGAGGGTACATGAATATGTTTCTGGGGTATATGAGAACCTTTGAAAAGATTAAAAAACAAACTAAAAATTGAAGAGCTGTCTTGAAGAGTTACCAATGTATTCCACTAGCCAGTATGCAGTATTTGCTTATTGTTGGCCCACCCTTGAATTATTTCTTTTGATTTACCTTTTTATTAATGTACATCATTTTTAAGTTTTTAACAACTTGTATGCATCATGGGTATGCTACTGACACAAAGGTCTGATTTACCTTTTTATTATTGTACATCATTTTTAAGTTTTTAACAACTTGTATGCATCATGGGTATGCTACTGACACAAAGGTCTGATTTACCTTTTTATTAATGGTACATCATTTTTAAGTTTTTAACAACTTGTATGCATCATGGGTATGCTACTGACACAAAGGTCTGATTTACCATTTTATTAATGTACATCATTTTTAAGTTTTTAACAACTTATATGCATCATGGGTATGCAACTGACACAAAGGTCTGATTTACCTTTTTATTATTGTACATCATTTTTAAGTTTTTAACAACTTGTATGCATCATGGGTATGCTACTGACACAAAGGTCTGACTGGGGGCAAATGGCAATAAAATGGTTGGAAACTACTGACCTAAGTAGCTATATGAATGGGCAAAGAGAATCATAAAGAATATGTATATTTAAATATAAAATAGGGTTAAAATTTATTGAATGAAACCTTCTGATTAACAGTTAAAGAAGTCAGTTTGCTTATAATTTTGATATAGTAATAAAATAGTTTTTATTGTACACATAGAGAAACTGTTTGTGGTATTTTTAGAAACCAAACAAAGATACAGTTTAGTGTTACAAGAGTGTAGGAAGACATAAAAAATCAGTAGTTGAAGCCTACAACAAGATAAAAATTTGTAATCAGTTCTTAAGAAAAAAACATTTCGTAAGGAAATCTTTGAATTTTCAAAGCTAAGAATCCATACAAATAAAACCTAAAAATATTTTATTTTACGGAAACTATGTACTGTATTTTTCAGAATATAAGACGCACCCTTATTTTAAAGACAAAGTTTTGGGGAAAAAAAAAGCTACAGTCATATTTGAAGGATATTGTTCGAAACACAAAAGAGTTCAAAACATCAAAATAAGAAATACCGTAAATCAAAAAAA